AAAAAAAAAAAAAAAAAAAAAAAAAGACAAAAAGAACAAATTTCTGAAGAAAAGAAAAAAAGAAAACAAGGGAAAATAAAAAAATATGTTAAACTTTGTTGTGACAGTGGCAATTGGTTTATCTATGGGATGTGTGATCCTTTTTCTTTCTCTTGCCTCTGTGAGGTCTGGTTTCCTCCTCTTCTTTACCTCTTTCCCTTTTGGCTGCGTGCAAGTGGGTCCTTGTGACATATCGGGATGGGGCCAGCCAGCGCGCAACCTGTCATCCACGTGGCTGGCCTTGTACGTAAGAGGTGATGAACAGGCCGGGCTTTCCTTCCTTACTTTTTTTCTTTTTCTTGTTTTGTCTTTTTCCGCCTTTGCGCTCCTATTCACAGTGTGACTATATATATCGTCACAAACAGAACTGCCCGGTAAACCGTAGGCAGAGAGAGAGAAGAAGACAACAAACGAGGGGCTGCGACAAACTGTTTCGTCGGAGTTTCACCGACTCATCACGTCTGTCTACCTGTCTCTCCCTATGTGGTTAATAATATATATCTATGAGCGACTATTTGTAAGAGTCTGTTCGTTCCCCCCCCCCCCCCTACCCCCTCTTAATTAATGAAACTTGTTTAAGGCCTGTTTTCTTGATCCTTGCTTAGAGCGGGAGCAGAGCGCCCTGCTCGGCACGCAGTGTATGAGTGTGACGACTGACGCCATGAGCTTCCTTCTTTCGTTTTCTTCTTCTTTTTTCTTTTCTTTTCCTTTTTGGGAGCGTCCGTGTACTCGCCAACGATCTGCAATAATCTACCGATAAAGGGGGAAAAAAAAAGAAATCTGCCGATTCCTTCAGCCTTTTTTTTTCAATTAAAAAAAAAGTGAGATAGCTTCTGTCAGTAGCAGCAGCAGGGAGTTTCGTCTTTACGGTAAGATTAGAAAAAGAACAAGCAAAACATAAACAAAGAAAATATATGATGAGTCGGTGAAACCCCGACGAAACAGTTTGTCACAGCTCCTCGTTTGTTGTCCTCTTCTCTCTCTCTGCCTACGGTTTACCGGGCAGTTCTGTTTGTGACGATATATATCGTCGCAAACAGATATATATATATATAATATATATAGGTATATGTGACGATATATATAGGCGTGCAGCAGTCAGTGCCCAGGCAGGGGAGCTTTGACATACATCATCCATCTTCGTTCCTCATCCAGCCTTTTTTTTTTTTTTCCCCATTGTTATCGAACAGAGTACCTTTTTTCTTCCTTACCCTCGTCCAACTTTCGTCCCTTCGTCCTCCTCCTCCGCCTCTTGGTGTCTTGTGGCAAGCCTTCCCCACCTCGCCTGCCCTTGGCCCTCGCTCCACCACTTAAACACATGCACAAAAGACAAAAAATATGGCGGTGTATGTTTCTTTTTTTTTGTTTTTTTTTGGGACGGTGTATGTTTCTTTTTTTTTTTTTTGTTTTGAAACGGTAGCGGCAGATCGTTATCATTTTGCAAATGTGGTATCTGGTGGAGCAAGACCCGCTGTTGTTCGTATCTTCATCTTGTTGCCTATGGATATGCTGTTGTCCTGAAGTACTCGGGGCACTGTTACAAGAAGTCTGCCGTCTGGAGAAGGAGGAAAAGGATCGGGAGAGAGGGGACGAGGAGCAGGGGAGAGAGGAGGAGGAGGAGGAGGAAGAGGAGGAGCAGGTCGTTATTTGTGTCGGGATCACTTTGTCCCCCCTCCCCACAACCAGCAGCAGGATAATAATAAGAAGGGAAGATTGTTGAAATGCACCTAAAAGTTGGGGTATTTCGCTAGATACCCCTAAAACACAGGGGTACGCCGAAATGCCCCAACCTTCTCTGCATCTGCCCCTGTCGCCCTCATTCGTCATTTGCAAGTTTGCCATTTGCCTTGGCCCTGGGCTGCGGGGGCGCATGCGTCTCTTTTGCCATCTCCGGCGTCCAAAGGACCGGGTCATATAGACAAGTTGTCAAAGGCCGGGTAGGGAGGGGTATGCGCAAAAGATGACAGGTCCAATTGGCGAGTGGGGTATTTCGCAAAGTTTCACGACTGTCAGAGGGGCATTTCGCTGTACCCATGCCTTTTGGGGGTATCTGACCAATACCCCAACTTTTTTTTTTTTTTTTTTTTTTTTTAATAAAGCTGCCTTCTCCTCATCGGGGCACAGCCATATATTTTTCTCTCCCCTCACATATCTTTCTTTTAACTGGCGTTCTGCCATGCCATGGAACATATCTTTCTTTTCACTGCCTACCACTACTCCTAAGGCTATACAGGGGACCCCTGCAAGCATAGCTCCCAACTTTCAGGGGCATTTCAATAATTTTCCCTTAAAAAAAAACAAAAACGAAAAGAATAATGAACCAAATTTAGAAAAAACAAAAATAAATATTAATCATTATGATTTAAGTATGTAATCAGGGTTGCCCGCGTCCGGGACGGGCCGAACGCCGGAACGTTCGGGACCCCCTCCGAACGCGGACCCAAAAAACAAAAAAATGAATTCTAAAAAATCTCTAAAAAAAAAAGTTATGCAGAAAAATAAACTGAACAACATTTGCCTCAACGTTACATCCAAATTCTTTACTAGATTTGAAATAAAACTCAAATACGAAAAACAAATAAGAATAATAAAAATAAGAAAAAAAAAACGAGAATGAAATTATCGAGTGGGCGAGCACGTTTTTGACACCGCCATCTTTGGCGTTTTTTCTTTTTTTTTTGGCTTTGACAAATGTCATGAAAATTTATATATGTGTATCTTACATAATAGAGAACCTACAAATAGGTTTGAAAAAATAATAATTTTTTTCATGCCTCGAAATATAGGGGGGGGGAAAATTGAAAAGAGAGAAAAAACAAATTAGTGAGTGGGCAAGCAAGTTTTGACACCACCATCTTTGCCGATTTTTCATTATTTTTTGGCTTAACAGAATGCCTTCAACATTAAGAGGAAAAAAATAATAATATGTAAGTGCCAAAATATTGTTTTTGTGGCCGAACGTTCGGGGGTCAGCCTAGGGGCCTCTGTACGTTCGGCCTGGCAACCCTGTATGTAATAATAATAATAATAATAATAATAATAATAATAATAATAATAACAATGTGCTATATAGTAAAAAACCTTTGCATGTCGGTATAAAAAACCGATGTCTTTCCACTTGGCTATACTCCAATGAGGGCCTCAATGTCTTAGCTTAGTATGAATTGTGTTTTTGTTTTTCAACTATTTGACTACTCGATACAAACAACAATTGAATATTTATGGCAAGACTAAAATAGTAATAATAATAATAATAATAATAATAATAATAATAATAGCATCAGCACCTAGGCTACCGGAGTGGCCCGGGACCACTTGCCCGGCCGGGTCAAAAAAATAAAATAAAATGATTTTTTATTTGGTAAAGAATTTTGATGTGATGTGACCCTTGTTCTGCATAACATGATTTTTTTCCAGAATTGTCTTTTTTTTTGCTGGGTCCTTCTACGGTCCTTGCACGGCCGGGCAGCCCGGGCAAACAAGGTGACTCGGGCGGCCCCGTTGGTAGCCTAAAGCAGCACCAATAATAAAGTAATTAAGAAAATAATAAAACAATGGCAATAGTAATAATAATAGTAATAATAATAGTAATAATAATAGTAGACTCGAAGTATTAATAAGTTAGAAGAAGAAGAATAATGGAATAATGGAAACAGTGGCCAACTGCCTTTCGTACACGCTTCGAAAGCTCATCAATACATAGCCGCGCGTACACATCTCAGCTCACGCGCACATTCCCGTACGCGCGGCTAAGAAGAAGAAGAAGAAGAAGAAGAAGAAACAGTGAAAAAAACAGTGGCCATAGAGTGCTTCTCGTACACGCAACAACATAAATTTATATCTTCTCCGCATGTACTGTTTTCTCTAGAAACACGCAACTAAGAAGGAGGAGGAGGATGAGAAGAAGAAGAAGAAGAAGAAGGATTTTGGTATCGTCTGCAGGGCTTGTGCACAATTTTTTTATTTTTTTATTTTTTTTATAGGTGCATTACTCTGTAGAAAGAGAGGAGGAGGAGAAGACGAATGGTGAGCAGGTGACAAACAGTGGTGAACACTGTTTTCCGTGGATGGCTGTCACGCTTTCTCCGAAAAAATCCGCATGCACAAGTCTGAGTTAGTCGGCCAGGTGCATATTCTCCTAGGCACGTTTATCGGCCCGGTGCACCTCTGGGGCTCCTTAGTGGACTTCCCACAGACCACCACCGTTTCGAGTAATCGAGAGGTGACAATCATGAAGTGTGCGAGTGCTTTGCTTGTTGTGTATGGAAAGTACTCGTCTCTCAACTGTGCATGCTTGGACCATCTCTTTTCCCCCTTCCCCCCCCCCCCACCACCAACCTTTTAAGGAGTCCATTCATTGCATAGAAATGGTAGAGGCCGGGGTCCTCACAATCTACCCGGAATGTAAACCAATCTGGGAGCATTACGCAGCTTCGCTTACAGGGTATGAACCCTGAGGGGGACCAAACCGCTGGTGGGCAGGAAAGACCAAGACGGTGTGACCAAGGCTCACACCGGCGTCTGAGCAAATCAACCGATCAGCTCTGGAAAAAAGACTCTTCCTAGCAGAGGCAATCTAAGGCTGCTGAGCTACCGATCGAGCATGACCAACCATGCCGACCAACACAATGCAATTACAACAACACGCCTCTCTAACCCGAGAGGCTGGAACTTAACCCAGTTCCAAAAAGGTACAGCTAGTGGACTAACTCAACAACAAACCTCTCTAACCCGAGAGGCTGGAACTTAACCCAGTTCCAAAAAGGTACAGCTAGTGGACTAACTCGCTGCAGTGCATTTCTGCATCGAAGCACTACCTTACCTTATCGCTATTCTACTCTCCACCAGACACACTACCATTTGTGTGCATTTGCTGCAGGAGGATTGGAGCAAGTAGAATTAGAACTACCATTAGCATTAGCATTCGAATTAGAAGAAGAAGAAGAAGAAGAAGAAGAAGAAGAAGAAGAAGAAGAAGAAGATGACGACGACGAAGAAGAAGGAGAAGAGTTAGAAGAAGAATAGTGAGTGAACAGTGACAAACAGAGCGGCCATCACTGCTGTCCGCACATGCTTATCAAGCTTTGTCTGAAAAAAACGCATGCCCACCTGTGCATTTGCTGCGGCACGATTCGAGTAACCAGAATCGGGATCAGTGAAAACAGGGGGAAACTGCCTTTCGTACACGCTTTGTAAGATCTTCAATACAGACAGCCGCACATACTCGTCTCAGCTTACGTGCACATATACAAGAAATAGAAATAGAAATAGAAGAAGAAGAAGAAGAAGAAAAAGAAGAAGAAGAAGAAGGAGAAGAAGAATTCCTTTTCATCGGAATCGTTTTTTTATTTTCTATTTTTATAATTATGTGATTGTTTTCTTGGATTTACGCATTTGCAGCAGGAAAATGCTGAACCAGTAGAAGAAGGAAGAGGAGAGGATTTTGCTTGCATCAGCAACGTTTGGCCCGTTGCAGGGCGAGCAGTGAAGAAACAGAGCAAGGAGAACACGAAGACCAAGAACAGTAATCGTGGTAAACCGTGACAAACAATACCAGGCTGCTTTCCATGCATTCATCGCAACAAGCTTTTTGTAAATCATTCCGCATGTAAGAAGACAAAGACGAAGACGACGACGAAGACCTGAACAGAGAGAGAGAGAGAGAGAGAGAGAGAGAGAGAGAGAGAGAGAGAGAGAGAGAGAGAGAGAGAGAGAGAGAGAGAGAGAGATGTGTGCGCACGGTGATGCAAAGTAGCTCGGTCGAAAATCGATTTTTCGGAAGCCTGTTTTGGAAGAAGAAGAACAAACGACCGAAGCGGGATCT